CCCTCTGGAGAGTGATTAACCTACAACCCATACTGCCATGGAAATAATAACTGTAATCCAAGTAAATTACAGGAGTACTAGAACTCAAAAATCTGAGCTTTATAGAGCCGTGGCCACTAAAGATAACCTGAGGGCGTATCCAAGGATTCCAAGTCCTGTTTCTATATTCTGTCACAGGCAGTACAAGTATGTGTCACTTTTATGACATACACAAAACCATTTCATGCTTAATCTAGAAAATTAAAACAGCTGCATCACTGATTTTTGTTTTTAGTAGCTGAGGGCAATTTTGAGAGGAACCACTTTTGAGAGCGAAACACTCTGAGAATTGCTAAAAAGAAATCAGAGACTTCTTTGTGATTTTATGGAAACTTCCTTTCTAGTGACACAACCTCTATTTTTGTGCCTGGACATTGAGGAAAACCCCTTGTGGCTGAGATAATCTGTCCTGGTATGCACATTTCTGGCTAGAGCCATGTGTGTACAGATACCTGCTAACATTAGAACTGGAGCTGTGTCTTTATACTGAGCCTTCAAAACAAATTTAGTCAGAGAAAGCAAGTGTGTGAGATTTTTATGGTGATAAAATAGTTTGCAGATGCCTTTGCTATAAAAGTATTTTTTCATGAATGTTTTCAGTAAGTTAAATCCAGCCACGCACTGTAGGTCTGAAATGGGTCTATTTATTCATTTTATTTATTTATGCCTGATGCTTTTGGGAATAGGAGAAGGTTTTGGCCCTCTAAGAGTGAACCTAACCAACATTTATACTTCATAAATTTTAAGACCAAGAGAAAAAAAGGTGTTGGGCTCATGTGGACTTTCCAGAGACACAGCATTTTCTTTACTTAATTAATTTTTATTCTGAGTCTTTAGCAGAATTTCAACTTCATGTAGGAAAAATAAAAAGTCTACCTTAAAGACAGTTTTTCAGTGAACTACTGCATAAGATCAGATAGACTATCGTAATGGATAATTACCCTTAATGATAATAATTACCCTCGTTGTAATCTAAATATGCTTAGTTTCCACTTGTAGTGGAGTACATTCCTGAGTCATTTGCAAACCCTAGCAGTATCACCCTATTTGGGGGTAAGGAGAGGAGTCACTGTTAAAAAATACATTATCTCAGCAGTGACTTTTCATTTATAGCTAGATTTGGAGACATAATAGCTCTGTGGCTTCTAACTCAATTTATGTGTGCCACACTTACTGTGTAGCTTTTGTAGTTCCATAACATCATGTGGACTTAAGTCAAATGTCATATCAAAGCCTAAAGTTATCACACAGCACTCATACATCTATTTACCAAATAAATAATCTCCTCAGAAAATGCCTAGTTAGTCAAGGTGTGCTTTCCTAAATCTATGCTGCTTAACATCAATTTTTTATTTGAATATTTTATTACTTGAATGAAGTCTTCATTATTTTGGCAGGATTTCTGTCAGGGTGACAGGCTTTGCTTGCTCAGCTCGACCTGCTTATCTTCTTTCAAATATCATTACTTTCCTACCACTTGCTGCCCAATGGTGTGTTCAACGTGCAGAAAGACACTTCAGGGCTTAGAAGAAAAAGCACATTTTATTTGAGTTGCTTTGCACTATGAAAATCACTTTCTTCATTCAGCTGATTTTGAGACCTGTGAAGAGCAGCCAGGAATGAGTCAAACCAGGAGGCAATCATGCTCTGAGCACATGAAACCACTTGTGTGTGAGCGATGATGGAGCCAAGGGAGCAAACACCATGGCCAGGGTAGCCAGCCCTCAGGTCTCAGTACCCCACAGTGATCATGAAGGGAATCCCTGTGCCCAGAGATGTCCTCCACTCCCCAGATACACCACTGCAAATTCCAGCAGTCTGTGGCTTGTTTCTTTATGTGACAAGGGGAGAGATTCTGAAAAAAAGGATTCTGATGCAGTTCTAAAAACATTCAGCTTTGGGGGACTTCTATTTGATTTGAAAGAGTTGGTACTGAGAAGGGGGCAACCATGAGAATTGGAGCATTTTCCTGCATTTTATCAAAGGTTTTGCAAAGCAATGAAGCAAGTGGACATTGTCATTGTTACAGGTAGTGCGGGACATCTTCTGCTTGGTGTTTCCTATAATAATGTCAGTGTTAGAGCAGGTTTTGGGAACTCTGTCTTCCCTGTTCCACAGGGTGCAGAAGAAATGCCTCACTATTTCATGCAAAGGGGCACAGTTCCAAGAGAATGCTGCAGGTCTCCTCACTCCAGGATAATTTCTGGTCTCTGAAGGCATGACACATGTGGGCTCAGCCTCTCCCAGGTACAGCCTGGTTTTGCAGGTGATGAGCTGGGGGTCTGTTACCCAGGCACAGAAGGGTGAGTCTCCCCAGCCCTGAGCTCCCCCAAGCAGCAGAGCTGTGAGCCCCAGCCCAAGGGAGCGGAGACACCAACACCCCCCTAGCATCAAGAGCTCAGTGTGGGACTCACCAAGAAGCACATGGGCCTCCCAGGCACCTTGCTCTTTGAGAAGTTTCCCTCTGTGCTGACTTTTGCAGCTGCACGCAGAGGCATCCATGTGGGCCAGGCTTGGGCTTCCCATCAGCACAAAGGGATGAAAAGCAGTTCTGCTCTTCCTCAGAGCATAATTGTGAGGAGAAATGCATTAAGGACGGAGAAATGCTGCAGTAACGAGGGCTGTGTGAATGCATACTGAGAAAGGCAGAAAAAACATGCAGCTAGGAGCTTATTGGAAAAAGATTGGACATTTTTAAGGGAAACAAGATTAGTTAGCTCTGCAATAAGAAATAGAAATAGAAAATAATTTTTAAAGCTGTATAAACACGCCAGCCACTAAGAAATTAATTGATAGCTTCCAGTGTGATTTCTCATGCTTCTTTCCTGAGTGCCTGAACCAGTGGGAAGGGAACTAAGCCAGGCGGATTAAGGGTTGCCTCCACATCAGCAATTCTTGTTTTCCTGTCATTAATACCTACATATAAGGTATCAGGAGTCATATTCACTATTCAGTCTTCCATTTGTCAGTTTTGTGTTGTGCCAAAGACCAACCCAGTCTCACCATCTCATTTTGCTTTACAACTCGTTTGGTTGATCCTGCCTTTGAAGAAGAAGAAGGACTAGATAAGGATAGCTGTACTTCCCCCTTTTTTATGTGCTCATCTAATTTTACATGGTATCTGCTGGTGGTTGTGTTTCCTTTGATTTCACAGCAACCTTCTGTATTTGTCAGGGCAACACCACGAGAATGGATTTGGCCCTGAAACTGCCTGCTCCGTCATGCAAACATTTTGGCATCTTTGAAAAGGCATCAGTTCTGGAATCTTAGAAAATAACAAAATTGAAAACTTTCAGAGAATACTAAAAACATTTAGCTTTATTACAACACAATAAATAGTTCCATCACCCACTGAAAACTGACTTCTGCAGCTGACGTAGTAATAAAGTAGAAATTCAGTTGCAGATATAGACTGTGAGGTGACACTTGTCAAATACGAGCCAGGAACCACTAGTTTTTCAAATTACTTGATTTTTCAGCTTTATTTTTCTCTGCCATAGGGGAAAAACTCAAACAACAACAACAAAAAACCACAGCAACCAACCAAACAAAAAAATCCTTATAATTGATATATGTACAATAAAATAAAGGAGATATTTGCTAGACCAGGATGATCAGAGTGATAGCATGTGTTGAAGGCTGATGCATGTGAAATAGCTAGGCATTCTTATGTGACACCAGATGCTGAACTGCCTATAAATTATCAGTCTGTTTGGTTTATTATTTTGATTGTGTCCTACAACTCTTTGCCTAGTCTTTCTCTAAGATGCTTCTGCAGATTTCTTGGGGTGAATCTTGATAACTCTTCTATAGATAGTAGAACTGGAGAAAAGACTTCTCAGAAATTGTGTATGTCTTATCCTAATCAAACACAGGAGATACAGGAGATGTCAGATCACAATGAAGTATGCAGGTGTGATGACATATTTGAACTTGTGCAGCTATTTGTGGTGTGTATAACAGGAAGTTCAGAATGTAGGATATATCAGATCAGATAATTAGACTTTTTTAAAAGTGTCTTTTGCTATATTTAGTTCTCTCTCCTACTTAACTGAACATGTACATTTAAGCAGTCCTGATTCATTCTTAAACTTCATGTAAGGTGACAAAAATGTTCATGGAGTATACATGGGTGCACATGCTGCATCAAAGGTCTCTTCCCCTCTGCAACTCACTGGTACTGCCCATTTCATTGTCAGTTGTTCACCATCCTTCAGGAAACAGGTGTCCCCTCAAAGAATGAGAAAAAGAATATGGTCCTTCTGATGCAAAATATTGCTTTGTTTTGAGTGGTACTTTCACAGACAATTCTATCCACAAATTGAATAAGAAAAATGTAACTGGTTGCTATTATTTTCACAAGTTATCATTTCTTAATGTTAACATTTCTCAACTATTGGAGTTACAATTCAAAGACAGCGTAAAAGGAAAGAAACTTGTCCACCATCATCCTCTAAAAGCAGTTAATAAATGTAATTAAATTCCTGTTCTTTTAAAACAAATCCCCCCTTCCTGGCTCCAAGGTTACAATGATAATAGCTGCAGTACTGATTGGGAGGCACTGCTGTGGCTCCCTGATAAACCTCCCCTAATGGCGTTTGAAAGCCTTCCCTTATCAGCATAACATCTCTCTCTAAATCTAAATCAGATGCATCAGAAGATGGCAAATGCAGAGGGAGGAGAGGTTTCCCATGAGTAGCAGAGCTGAGTCTGTTTCCTTCATACTGAGCAAGTGGACAGCACTGACACAGGGGATTTGGTCATCTGGAGACCACGACAAGAAATATCCAGTGCTAAACAGAGGAGTATGTTGCTTGGAAAATAAATGGGTCCAAAATGTGAAATGATCTCTTTGCATGTATCTGTGGCCCTGGCATAGTTCTGTTGTACAGGTGACTGAAGCGTTTCTGATTATACACTGCTTTTTTGGGAAAACTCATTTTTCCATACTCTTTTTACAGCTCCCAAGTCTACCTTTTGTCCCACTGAAGAGACCTGGTGGCCAGGCCTGGTTATTATCATTGCAGTATGCTGTGCCACACTAGTGTTCCTCTTCATAGTTGTCATCATTTGCTACAAAGCCATAAAAAGGTAAGACTCCAGATGCTTTTCCTGTGCTTAGGGCAATGCAGCCCCACAAAGGCTGACCCAAAACTTGGCTGGCACCATGTTTTGTTAAAAGGCATCTTAAAGGCAAAATGCATCCTGTAGTCAAGGTGTGTTTTCACTGGAAAGTCACTGTAGGTGTCGTATCCTGCTGGTGTAAGGGATGAAGTTTAATGCACAGTCATGGGCATGAAAGACTAGAAATGGGACAGGGCCACAATGTTCAAATTAATATGAATTCCCCAAAGTCAAATTGCTGCAGGTTGTTGGGGAATTCTAAAAGCTTTAGTTTGGCCAAGTGTAGAGGCAGGAAGCACCATCCTGTCCAGTTCTGGTGGTATTAAAAATTTACGTGTGGGGTGTGAGATTTTTGGCCGAGGCCCATCACTAACTGTAGCATTTCACATTGATGCAAGCTCTTATAACCAAACTCTAGGGTAATTTTTGCAGTTTTTATTTGGAGTATCTACTTATTTATTCCTGCTTCAAAATTATCATCTACAGAATCCATTTCAAGACCTGTCTCTTTTACTTTAAAAGCCTATGTGAAGGCTACATGCAAGCACAGTGTGTAGTAACCATTTCAGCTCTGCTACCACTGTCTTTGTAATAGATGTGCTTGTGTAGGCCTCTGGTAGTAGTTAGAAAGCATTTCACAGAATCACAGAATGGTAGAGGTTGGAAGGGACCTCTGGAGATCATTGAGTCTAATCCCCCTGCCAGAGCAGGACCACCACAGAATCTAGGGCGGCTCACACAGAAAGGTGAACTTCTTTCTTCCACATTACATTTTCAGGAGGTCCTTGCTCATCCATGCAGGTCTCTTTCCTCCTCTACCTGATTTTTTCCTCAAAGGAATGCACCTAGCTTTGGAGGAAGTGACATTGGAAAATTAAAAAACTCTCTCGGGCCCTCCTACCTTCTAGAGTCTTAGCCCTCGGAATTCCTGCACATAGATCGTTGAAGTTAGCCCTCCAGAAGTCCAGGATGGTAATCCTACCTATTGCCCTGCTTCTTCATGATCACTGTCATCAAGGCTGTCCCCAACCTTAACATCCCCAACCAGACCGTCTTTACTTGTTAATACAAAGTCCAGCAGTGCACCTCTCCTCATTTGTTCTTCCACTGCCTGCATCAAGAAGTTATTACCGATTCACTGCAAGAGCTTTCTGGACTGAGTATGCCTGGCTGTGTGGGCTTTCCAACAAATATCAGGGTGGTTGAAGTCACCCATGAGCACTAAGGCATATGACCTAGAGGCTACTTCCAGCTGGCTGCAGAAGGCCTCATCAATGTCTTCTTCCTGGTTTGGTGGTCTATAGTAGACACCCACAACAGTTTTTTCCACATTTGCATGTCCCTTAATTCTTACCCACAAGCTTTCAACATGTTCTTCCTCCCCACCCCACTCCTGGGTAGAGCTCAATGCATTCCAGTTGCTGTCGCACATAAAGAGCAACTCCACCACCTCGCCGTGTTGGTCTGTCTTTCCTAAGAGTACTTAGCCATCCATGACGACATTCCAGTCATGGGTGCTGTCCCACCATGTCTCAGTAACTGCAGTTGTATCATAGCCCTGCAATCTAAGCTCCTCCTGCTTATTCCCCATGCTTGTGCATTGGTGTAAGCATTTCAGAGAGGGAGTCGAGCACTTAGTTTTCACTCTTGAGGGGTGGTAGGACTTCTGATTCTCAAAAATGTTGGCACACTGCCCCACAAATGGTGGGCTGCTACACCCAGGGGCCTCACTAGCATGTCCAGTTCCATCCCTCTCCCCATTTACTTCAGTTAGGTAGGAGAGTCGGAGTAGGAATTTCTACACATAAATAATATTTCATCTTTTGAGCAGAAGAAAGTAAAAATCCCTGAGTCTCATGAGGTGCTGCATTGACACCTAAACCACAGTCAGGAATAAATTATTCAAGTTATTCAGCTTTTACTCAGCTTTGGGATTTTTTTTTTTTTTTTTTTTTTTTTTTTTAAGGGGGGAAGGAAAATAAAATACCTTTCATTAAAAATGTTAATTCAAAGTAACTGCAAGATTTTTTATGAGCCTCAGGAGGGATATCAGAATGGGGGAGCATTACACATGCTTCGCGGTTGTCTGCAAAATTGATGCAGGATTTGAAGGATAGTGTATCCTGCAACATCAAAAAGGGAGAATTCAAACAAGAAGACAGAAATCTGTATCAAATATCTTATTAAATTTACATAAGTATCTTTGCTATTCTATTATAGCTAAAATTAATGCTTATTAGTTTTGGGGCATTGGAAGGCTTTCACTCTATCTACTGAACTTCTTAAAAATCATCTCTAGAAGACTGAAATTGGAGTCAAATTAGATTGGTCACACAGTGCAAAATTTCTTACTTGTAGTTCCTCATATAACATTGGCTGCTCGTAGAGGATAGATCCAATTCCATGTGGAAAGTTGTATTTGTTTCAAAACCAGCTGTTGTGTTTGTCTTGTGCCAAACTGTAAATGTTTTCTGCCAAGGCTGGAAAATATACCTACAGCACTAACTCTCCAGGACAACTTGTGCCTAGTGAGGTATTGCTCTTCTAATCTGCTCTGCTGATGATAAATAGGAGGTACAGAAAATAAATTCAAACAGACAAATTATGGGGTCCCTGAAAAAGGCTTTGGGAATCCATATAACGATTTACGCTTCACGACTGTGAAGAAGAAATCAGATACTTGATGAAAAAAGCATTATTTGTCAATAGTGTGAGTATCAACATGCAAGTCAGCCACTTGAACAGGCATTAGGCTCAGGAAAAAAAGTGAATCTTTCTTTTAGATCTTCTTACTGTTGACATTCACACTGCTGAGAACTGGTAAGCTGAAACTGCTGAGATTGGGATGGACAACTAAAAGAGAAAATTAATTATATTTTTACAGAGTAACTAGAGCGTTTGTTTTCATCAGTGAGTCCTTCCTAAAACAGCTCTGTTTAAAAGGGTGTTCTAAAATTCCTGGCATCATTCCTCAGTAGTTCAGGTTCCTTTATCCACTGTAAAAGGTATCTGGTGATAAACTTATTCCTGTCTATCTCCTGGAATCAGGACCTCTCTTATTCCACCTTCAACAAATCTGTCTCCTACCTCCAAGGCAGAATGTTGTCCGCTTACTTATAATATACACATCCCCTTCAGGTGTGAGTGGCACCTGCTCGTCCTCCAGCTGCATCTAGGTTGGGTTGTAACCTTGATGCAGCACAACCCTCTTCGTCCAAGGAAACACACACACAGATTTTCTTGATGTAGAAATGAGAACCCCACCTGAAGACTCCACCTCTGCCTGTCCCGGCTCTTCCTTAGCTCTGCGTGAGAATAGCCTTGTGTCTCAGCACTGAAAAGCATCCTTTCCTTCTTGCACCATGTCAGACATGTCTGCAGGTTTCAGAGTGTCCCAGCCTGGGTTGCCTGCTGTCAGGTGGCTGGTTGCTGTGGGGGGGAGCAGGAGATTGGCAGCTGAACACAGGACTGTTAACAGTGCCCATTGCAAACTGATCCTCGAATCCCTCTCCTCCTCAGTTTCCTGCCTCTGAAACAGGTATCAAAGCATTTGCCTACATCTCAGGAGTGTCACTGAGATTCATCACCTGCTTTCTGATGAACAGTGTAAATCTGAAAGTGGTGAGAATTATTATCCAAACATATGGTCCCTAAAATCTTGCATGAGACTGTCACCTTCCAGCACTTTTAGGCAGGGATTTTTTACCTCTTCCTGAGGGAGCAGGGGAAGGAAATCCACGTCTTTGCATTTGGAAACCCTCGGTCTGATGAGAGCGGGGGTGCAATAAAAACTGCAAGTGCCAGTAAACATGAAAACGGGTTGATAGCAGCAGATGGCTTGTATCTTTTTTTGGCACAACAGGAAACATTTAAAAATTGTCACCAGCCCATCAGCTGAAAAGGTAAGCCAAAATAAAAATACCAAGGAGGTGCTGAACATGAGTTCAGATTGGATGACAGTACCAGTTTTACCCATGGACAGATGTATCCCATGTATACATCTCTCTATATCCTATGTCCTATCTATAGGACATCCTTTGTATCTACTATGGTAGGCTTATATCGTGACAAATCCATACAGGATCTCCATTATAGAAGAGTATTGCAAAAGTCTAACTGGAATAAGTTGATTTCTCTGCTTGTTAGTCTTCCAAAGGAAGTGGGCTTTAGAGCCTGGCCATCAATGCTATCGGTATCCTATTTAGCCTAAACCATACAGCTTAGCTCAATTAGCAGTGTAAGCACTGAAGAGATAACAAAGAATGAAATAACAGCAATCATCTGGTTGTAGGGTGTAGCAAGAGTTAAATCTTTTCATAGGAAAATGCAGGCAAAGATTTATTTGCATAGAGCTTGGATCTGTTGTGTTAATCCCTCACTTTCATAAGAATCAAATTTGAAGTAGAAAAATCCTATTGTGCGTAAGTTAAAATCTCATTTACTGGTTTCAAAGGGTCAGACCCCAATCAAACTCACTCATGTTCGCTTTTCTGTAGCAGGAATAGAGGGACTGACTGTCTTCCGAGTATTGCAACTCAGCTGTGTTTTTATTAAATCTGTATAAAAACTGTGTATCCTGGACTGGTTTGTTTTCCCTCATAACAGCAAGAACTGTAGCATATCACCAATTTTAGGTACCAAGGCTTTTTGTGATAAAATACAATCTAGTGCTTCTTTGTATAAAGTAACTACCAGAACTAAGCCAGCATGGTGCTATCTCCATCACTGCATTTCTTCCTGGGAAATACTCAGGTTCTCCCAATATGAAATGTTCATAAAAAATGCTGAAATCCATTCCGGTGGATGGATTTGACCTCTCTGGTATATGAGGGAACCAATACCACAACGTGTCAGTCAGCTTTAATACTCAGAGAACTGCTCGACAGGTTAACTCTTTGGAAGATACAAAAGGGGCAATTCTTGGAAGGCTCTTAAAGCAGACTCTAAATTTCGTGTGTGTGATGCTG